AAGCAGAGTGGAACTCAAACTTTGTTGAGTGAATTTCGTTCACTCTAGTGACAACGCGTTGGCGCTCCTCTCACACAATTTTTCAAGTGGCTGTTTGAGGGAGTAAAATCTTTAAAAAACTTTCAAAAAATTAAAAAAAAAACTTAGTAGCATGCAATTTTTCGGCACTATAAAAAATCAAAAAATTTATATACATGCTGAAGATGGAAGAGCACTGAGGTAAGTTGCACACATATAGGTAAACTGAGATAAGTTGCACATGGATAGATAGAGTTGGAAAGCTTTATTATAAGAAAGTGCGAGTACATTGGGAGTAGCTAACAAGTATCTCCATGGAACGCTCGAGATTATGTTACTCAACCTGAAGTGATACAGTCCCAATCAAGTCATGAGATCCGTATTTCGCATCTGCGAGAGTATCTGTCCCTGAACACTCAAATTAACATGCACCGTGGTTGTTCTTGACAAAGCATTTCAGTGCGAATTGTACTTATAGTGCAAGATCAACTTTTTGAGGTATCCGTTTTTTGCTCAAGGAATTGAATTTGATTTTAATCATGAAAGGTATAGGGCATTCGAGAAAAAGTGACGATGGCGCGACCGCGCGCGACAAGCACGCACCTCTAGCAACCGTATTTTCTTTGTTTTACCTCTATTCGAATGGTTTTTTTGGTTATGTATGATAGTATTCAGACACTGGAAGTGGCTGAGTGGAGAGTTGAGATAATACCTTTCTGTGAAGTTTTATAAGTGTTTCATGCTCATATTTGAGCAAAGACCCCAGTCAAATCCATCCTTGAGATTTTGTAAATGACCTGTATAACAAACTCGATGTTTCAACAACACTTTCATGCTTAATCATATTGATAATGACGATAATAAATCGATACAATGAGGTCACTACAGCTATGGCCAGAGCCAGCCTGGTCAATTATGGCACTATGAGGGACGAGAAAAATTCTTTGAAAAATTGGGGTTTTGCAGACTTTGAGCGTATTCTCAGATAGCTTAGAACTAGCTTGTTCCGAATATCAACATTAGAATTCAGTAAAAAGCATGAAGAAAGTTAACCAATCCGGATTTCCAGAAGAGACGAAGAGTTCATGCTGTCGTATATTTCGGTCAATAATGTAAAAGTACCAATACAAAAGATTCTGCAGTTTCAGCAGTCTCATAAGTAGCCTGGTTAATTAGGGCACTATGAGGGACAAGAAGATTTATTATCGTCATTATTATAAGCAGAAACAAGGCGCTAATTTCAAATAGATCAAAGTTTTAGTTGATTTGAGTTAATTACAGTAACGTGGCACTTTTAGCGCGAAGTTGCGAGATGGCCGCTGGCATGGAGCTAAAGAAACTTGAAACCTCGATTTTGAGTTTTTCGGAAGCCTTTTGGGTAGTTTAGCAAGCGCTGGCTTCAAACATTCAAGCTAGAACTGTTGAGGTAGAAGCAAGTTGTGGAGTTCCGGCGAATTATTAAGAACTGTATTACTAAGTTGTTTTGAAGGTTTTGTTTAATGAGCAGAATTTGCGTTTCAGAGTGTTATGACTTTTAAGTCAATATTCTCAGAAAAGCAAATCTTACCGTTTAAGCGAGCTTATAGCTACCGTAGATACAAAATGCCATATGAAAAAAGTAAAGTACAAGAGAAGAGATAATCTGGAGATTTTGCAAGGTTTTTTTAAAATCGACTATTTCGACATACTAATGCTCTGGCATAAGCATAGACAGACATATCTGGCTGCCATCATTAAAAAGCCTATATTCCAGGGGTTTTTTCAAGATTGAAGGAAGTTCAAATTGTCTTTGCTGCATAAAATTTTTTTTGAGCAATAAAAAACCAGAATTTGAGCCCTCGCGCACAAGTGTGCCGACTTCTCAATGTTTGATTTTTCTTCTGAATGAAAAAGGTAATTGACTAGAAGTTTCTGCTTGCTTTCGCCTTACTTTAACATATGCAATAATGAATACATCACTTGTTGCTATAGTAGACTGTTGCCGCTTGTGGAAAAGTATTTATACCCACGCAATGAGACAGACTTTGAACGCTAAAAAAAATTATTTTCGAAAATAGCACCATTGAAAGTTGTTCTAAAAATGAACCATATCATATTTCTTTGTCTCAATGATCACAAACATAAAAGCTTGTTAGGATTTCTCTTTCTCTCTGCAATCAAACTTAAAATAAGAGACTGTCAGAATTTATCAACGGCAATAATTTACATGATAAAATCAAAAGCGCACTTCAGAAACGGCGCTTGGAGGACGCCACATGTCTCCGATTAGGCAAAATCGATATCTTCAAAGGAGGCTTAATTTAGTCTAGAGAATTTTTACATTCCTAGGACTATCTCCTTGCCACGTGTCGAAACCATAATTAACATGTTTATTCTTTTTTTGACATATTTTACCAAAATCATTCCAACGAGGTACACAGCATTGGAGATGACTCAAAAGCTGTTGAGCGGTTTTTTGGTAAAAGCCAAACTATTTAAGACGTTTTCCAAGACATTTTAATCGCTTTCAGCAATAACTCAAACCATCTTCCTCTTAAAGTTGTTTGCATCCTGCGAATTGGAATAGGAAAGAATTTAAATGCTGGTTTGAAGCACGTGGCTGCCTCTCGTTTCGTGGCTTGGACGATGGATAGCCACCTCTGTTTTGGGCAAATTCAATGTGTTCGCGTTAACAGGATGTTATCCTTATGACGTTGTGTTTTTTTTAATAATCAGAAATGTAACATTAATTAAGAAAACGGATAGAAATTTGCATTGGTAGAAAAGTGACCGTGCAATATATTGCACGAGACTTCGCGATCTTATAACTCGCAAGGCGAAAATGAAGTTAGAGGGCTAAATTTTGCAGGTGCGCTACTATGATGCTAAGTGATCACCATCAACATTTTTGGAGTTCATCGGTTCGTTTCCCCTATCTTAAAATCCAAAGTTTCCAATACTGTAAATATGTCGATTTTCTACAACTCAAGTTCTAGGAAAGCTGCAGCGCTGGAACTTTAGAACACTATCAGGGTTAGCTTACACTAGATCTGCGTTTCAATACTTATCGAATCGAGGGAGAGGCAGACTAAACGGACTCTCGTTGAAACTTACTGAACATGTAGATGACATGTCACTCGAACGTGGCAGGAGGTTGTGATGTGAGGTTATGACCAAATTTATTACAACAAGAGTAACAATACGCTTCTTGAAAAAATGAACCCGAACAACTGAAAAGTACCGACTTTGACGAAACTACTTAGGATTGACCTTTTAGCAATATCTCGCGTGAATAAAAAAAATCACTATGGAAGTCACTGCTTCAAAAACTAACGGAGTATGTATGAATCATAGGAGTCTGATTTTGTTTCAAAAAACAATGGGGGCGATCGCCAAAGGCAAATATACCAAGGTGTCTAACAATAAGCTCTGAAACATAAAGGACCGCTTACTCAGTGGAGGTTTCAGCACGGACAATTGCTTCTCAGTTTTGATGATGTACAAATAGGCTAGGAGAATCATGAGGACCAGAAAAAGCCGATGCTGCAAAGCATGTAGTACTAATAGCAACTCTCACAGACGAAAAGTCAGCAATCTTGTTCACCAGATGGCGATTGTGGTTCTACGAAGACAACGATAATTAAAGGAAAGTGGTGGCAGAATGAGCAGTGCAAATGGTATACGTTAGGTTGTCTCAAATTTAATGCACATTTCAAGAAAATTTCAGCTTCTGATTGAGATAATTCATTTCTAAAACATCTTTTTGAGCCCAATAAAAATTATTGCAAAATGCAAACATTTGGCTATGCAACGCAAGCTTTTGTTGGATCGTTGCCGCTCCGAGAAATTTTCTAACTGAAAAATTTCAAAAATGTTTCTAGAAACTAAGGGAGTTTAACTTGCTCTCGGTACTAGAATCACGCAAGCTGCGCGCATCACATACCGCGATGGTCGGTGGAATGGAATGAAGTTGGGATTTAACTACATTTTTCTGCGAGATTACGTAAAAAAAAATTCAAAGTACTACTTTTTCCAGCATTTTGTAAAACTAAAAAACTGCCGTAGGAATTTTATATTTTTTCTCTTACAAAAAACGAACATACTGCCGTTTTCCTATCATTTGTTGTACTAAGTCCAATCTAGGTGTACAGAGCGAAAGTTGCGCAATCGCTTTTGGCTTTCGATTGTCATGCAGTATAGATGGGTCTCAACGACCAGCCAAGTTTGAGACGAAATTTCTTGAGCCAGGCTTTATCAAAAATCTCATAAAGCGAAGTTTTTTGGAGCACAGAACTTCACAGTCGTTATGGAGCCAGGAGAACGAAAGGAAAGAATTTTATGATTTATAGTTTATTTTTGAAAGCATGAAACTTTTGTTTGAACAAAGATTTCAAAAACGAAAGCACATGTTAGAAACTTGGAGAATTGGGCTTTCAAAGTCATAAAGAGTGTTGAGGAAGAACCTCCAGAACTTTTTCTTGAAAAATCAGCCTTTCCAAAAGGAAATTATAAAATATGCACTAATTATGAAACCATCTAATATTGGGTCGTCCAATAATTTTGATTACATTATATATTTTGTGGAAAATTCCGAAAGCTTTCTAGAAACCACAGATTTGGTTCACATTTGATACGCACCAGCATGGTTGATGCCGCAAATGCAGGAATGGCCAGAAAATTCACGACAGTTTTGAAGAGACACATACTTCCAACTTTTCTGTAATTTTTTTCTCTGCACTTACTTGGGCTTCCATTTTTATAATTTTTAGAATGTATTTCGACACCTTATTACATGAGTGCACTAGCATACCTCTAGCGCTTCAAAACCAGGGTGTGAAAAAATATTAAAAAATCTCAGAAACTTTTCGAATTCTTCTTTTTTTGTGCATCGGCCAGAAAAGAAAGTTTGAAAATAAATTTTTAAATTCTTTTCGAAAATGTCTTCTTTGCTAAGATAACGTTGATTGCAAAGGTGGCACACACTAAAATTTGAAAATAGATAAATGCTTAGGTAAACGCCTGTCCGCGTGTGGAAATTTTCTGACAGTAATACTATACCGAGAGAGATGTCTCAAACTTTGACATAAGTCGAAGTTTCAGCAACATCGTCAGACAAACAAAGTAGCCGAGCATCGTAAATGTCTTGTATAAAAGTAAGCAAGTGTACGTAATAAGAATCTGGAGTGAAAAAATATGAATTCCGTGGATGAGTATGACAGCTATAATGAATGGAAATAAGAGAGCAGAGTGTTAAAGGTTATGAACAGTTCAAAAGTAAATTTGTTGATCTTGCCTTCATATGAAATACTCCATTTCTGGCTCCCCATATATTTCTAGTTGGTTTTAAATTCTTGCTGTCGAAACAATCACAAACATCCATTATCACACAATTTGGCTTCATGTGGAAATGAAGACGAAAAGCTTTGATTTCAAATGCATCAATTATCAAATTGACGCATGTGAAATCAATTAGCTGTTCGGTCCTAAACGTTGAAAGAATTTGCAATTAGCAGCTTGAGAGACCATCATTTTGGCAGTCTTGGTATAAAAGCTATGCATTATGATGCTCTCTCAAAATGCAGCTGTTTCACCTCTTGTCCGCGCTTTTAGGTCCGCTCATGCTTCTGCAAGCAACAATGGGACAACAACAACAATTTAATGCAACGGGACAAGAAGACGATGTGTAAGCTGGAGCGGAATAGATCGCAATGCTTGAGTTTCTGCGTTAAAAATGTTTACTTTCAGAGTTACTCAAGGCCTTTTTAATTGGATAGGAAGAGGTCTCAAATACCTCTTTCCCGGTATTCTTGGAGGTGCAGTTCAAGGAGGCATGGACTACTACGCAAATAAACATTGATAACAATGATACTAAGCAATTCCGACAGTATTCTGTTGAGTTAGAACAGAAGAAATAAAATGTTTTGTAGTTTCAAAAGTTACAAGATTCCAACGCATGGAATACATTAGGTACAGAGTCAGCTGCGAAACCACGCGCATCGAATGGTATTCGAATGAATTCAACTGGTCATCAACTTTTCAGCTTTCCCCTTCCAGCAAGCATCTGTACTCTTCTGACAACACATTTTATCAATCAATCTTTCATGCTATAAATCAGCGTAGTCAAGCCGCTCATCTCTTGCATCCTTGACGAAAATTCTAGCCCAACAGAATATTCCAGCCAAGCTTCCATAGAAAAGTGTACCATACTACCACTAGTTGATTTCCAAACGGTTTTGAAACAATTATTCTTAAGCAGAGACAGTAGAGCGCATATTCTCAAGTTTTGTTCTGATTGTTGAATCATGTTGTAGCAAAGAGGGTTTTTGATAACTTCTGCAGCTTACGGTGGCTAAGAGAGCAACTGATTTGACGTTGCTAAAGACGAGCGTCAATTTAGCTTAGGTAGAGGAGATTACGTCGACTATAGTCTCCACCCTCGCGTACCACCAGTACGGTCTAGTAGTGTGTAAAGGATATTGCAGATGTCCGCGCAAGATCAAAACCTTTTGGTGTCCCAATGTCCTCTATTTTTTGTCTTCCTCTCCTCGTCCTCCTCATGGGACTCGCATCCAGTCGCTATGCAATAGTTTTTATCCTTTTTTGGGCAATGACCAAAAATATTTGCAACAACATTGCAAAATGGCAACGGAGAAAAGCGGCGGTGGATCAAAAATCCCACGATCATAAGATGCGGTTTGCATGGAGACAAATTTATACCAGTAATTTATTTCTTCGTGAGGACATATTTTGTGAAAGACAGTTGCATGAACTTTTTTTAAAGCAAAAAAAAGAACATATGGAAGACGGCGGGAGAATAACGATTGCTATCATTGTGTGTCAAGTCTGTGGACCTCGGCCCTCATGTAGTCTATCTCAAATGTTCCTTGAATGTGGTCATCCAAATTCTTGGAAATGCTACTTTGACAAAAACACTCAAAACAAAACACTTTGACAAACACAAATAGTCCGTAAGTTGAGATCAATTTTGAAAAAAGCACCCCAAAAGGCTGCGAAAGGATTTTTGAGAAGAAATCTATCAGTGATCAAACAGGAAGTACAGTAAGTGCAAACTTTTGAGATACCCTGTATACTTTTCCCTGTATACTTCCATTCGGATGGAGTACGATTATTTCACTTAAAGGGAGCAACGACCACACACCGCTACAAAATGTATAGTTAATTCATTGACCGCACAAACTGGACAGCGCTGCGGAGCAGACACCGCGAGGTAAAGCGCTTGCCCCAGTACAAATTCGCCATTGTACAATGTGCTCTCGCGAAATACAGCCGCGCCGCGCGTGGTCGTACAATTTGACCAGTCGCGCGGTCAACAAATCGACGATAGCGGCAGTTCGACACAGCTGTTCGCTAAGTATGCAGCCTACTAAAACGAATTTTCTTCAATTCCTTCTTTGTGCTTTCCTACTGTTTGAATGCTTGCAAAAGCCTTAAGAAGTCAGGAAACCACTTAGTAACAAATCGTGATAAAAGCTTTTATTATCACATTTATCTAACGGCAAAAAATTTTCATATCACAAATATTCACTTGATGTCAAAATCTTAACAAATCATCCTACTGTATAGTCAACTGAAGAGATTTTCAAAAAGACTACAAGACCATTTCTTTGGCGTCTTGGTATAGAGGCTTGCAATACTATATGCTATCTTAAAATGCACCTACCCATTTTGTTCCTGCTTTTTGCTTCGCTCGTATCACAAACAAAAGTAGGACAAGAGCAAGGATTCTTACAAAGGAGGTCCGTTTAATCGAAGCGGCCTTTTCAAATAAATCTATACCACTTTGAAAAGCATTGAACCTTGACTCCAAATCTGTTGTCAATATTTGCCAAGCTTCCTGGAGCCGAGTTACGAATGCTTTCGGAGTAAAAGATGAACGCTAGAATCTAGGTAAAGCAATCGTTACGGACTTTTCAGCAAGCAAAAAGGGCAGTGTTAAGTATAAGTTTATTAAACAGAAATAAGGAAGTGCTCTGACATTTAAGTCTGGATCATCTGAGCAATTCTCTATGAATTTTGTTTGAGTGGCGCAATAGTTTTCTAACCCGGTAAAACTCTCATAACTCGGCGTCCAGAGGCAAACAAAGATGAGAATTTGGAACCATCTTTCACTGCTACTCAAAGTGATCTAGGAGTCGCGCAAAAAGGCTATCTCGACCAAGCGGACCTTATTCGTAGGTAACGACAAGTAAAGAAGTGTAAGTCGGATTGGAACAGAATGTTGCTTCACCCACAACCGAAGTACCTTTTAACATGAACAAGTTCCGTTCTCACTTCATGTAAGCGTTGTAGATTCCAGTCGGATCCTCCATAATCCATCTAATCTCTCATGACAGCTTCTCCTTCCATGTCCATGAGAGACTTAGCGACTTCCTGTAAAAGGAACAGATTTCTGTATCGACAATCCATATCTCACCTCGATGGCTTCAGTATGTCTAAGAAAAGGAAAGATTCATCACATTCACACTTAAATGCGTAATGCAAATGTAGTCAGTGTACGTTGCCAGGGCGAATGCCGCCATCCATCTTGCAAGGATTGTGACGATGCACCACCGAGTTCTGTGTGAATCGCTGGCGAAAGAGGATTGTACGGGTATCTCGCAAAGGTGTCAAAGCCACCACTGCCCGGATCGTCGCAACCGCCTTGGTCGTGCTCTACGCCGCTTTCGCAGACGTATCGTTTAGACATTTTGCCAAGTTCCGATCGACGCCTCGCTTAGCTTTCGAAAAACAGTTACAAAATACAATCATTGTCACACAAAATGGCTTGCTGTGGGAATGCAATTAGTTTTTCACATTTCAATTGACTGTTCACTCCCAAACGCTGGAAGAATCTGCAGTGAGTTTTAAAAACCATTAGTTTGGCAATCTCGGCATAAAAGTCCCGCACCATGGTGCTCTCTCAAAATGCAGCTGTTTCATCTACTGTCCATGCTTTTAGGGCCGCTCATGCTTCTACAAGAACAATGGGACAACAAGAAATGAATGCAGCAGGACAAGGAAACGACGTGTAAGTTGAGACTGAACAGATTGCAATGATCTATTGATTCCATGTGCATTAAGACATCTCCGCGTTCCTCAAGGCCTCGGAAATATATTTCGTGCTGTTTCCAAAGTGATTGCTCCTGCTCTTGTTGGAGGTGCAGCTCAATACGGTTTGGAGCAACTAAGTAAAGAAAAAAAACAATGATCTGGCAAATTCGATAGTATTCTGTTAAGTTCAAACAGAAGAAAGAAAATTAAGAATAACTTTTGTAAATTTAAAACTGAAAGATCACAATGCATCACATAATTTAAGTTTCGATGCCTTAATCTACACAGCAGTGTGCAGTCAGCTGCAAAACCACACCAATCGAATTTGTTTAGGTATAGCGTAAATGAACGATCTGTGTGATTTTAGCTAGAAATACTCGACTTATTCCTGAAAGGCATTGTCCCATAAGGCAGACAATTAAAAATGGCGTTGTCGTCAGCGTGTTAAGTAGGAATGCTCTACTTATGACTATGGTACTAAATCACGCATAACGTGGCGGGGGTCTGAATTTTTTCTGAGCAAGATATTAGGTTGGCTAAAAAATAATTGCATTTTTTTTCATGAAAACCTCCATAAAAACTGTCTTGGTATTTTTTATCCATGTTTGTTGCAGGTGAGTAGAATGAAGCTTCTTCTATCACATATCGGCTATTTAGAATTTTCAATCATTCTTCAAAGGATAGTTATGCTCTAATATGTCTAAAATTCCAGAATCTCAATCTTGCGGCTTTTTTCCTGCTCTAATGGAAGTAGAAAACACCAGTTTGGTATTCAAATACAGACAAGTTTTTCCTAGATAGCGAATATCAGGAAAAATTGTTGCTTACCATTTCAGAATTCTTTGACCGAAAAAAAAACCAGATTTTCTCATAATTACGCACAATGAGAAAGTTGAAGTTCCTCACTTTTTTGCGAATTTCTTCCATTGCAAAATTATTTTCACTCAAACAGCATTTTTGTTACAATACTCATTTAAGTGCTCTCTCAAGAAGTGAATATTGAACAAAAAATTGTTTGTAGCATCTGTAGGAGCCGCAAAAGTGACCATTATTTATTAGCCATAAGCCATAGCCTATTATCATTGAAATTCAGTACAAGCAGATTCAACTTTTGGCTTTTATAACTGTATCAATCTGTTTCCCTGCCAAGAATGCATGGAGAGAAAATAGCAAAATCAGACTTTTGCGGAGCTTCGCTCTTAGGCAGAGAGTAGAGTACGCTAGACTCGCGAAGTTGGAGACGCATTGGTATTAGGATTACATTTCTAAAAGCATTTTTTGCATTCTCAATTTTGACCTTGTGCTTGTGTCGCTTATGCAGAGTTTCTGTCATCGCGAAGTTCCTTCACTTTTCACCGTGACCGGACCTTTACTGATATCAGAGACACGATTTCAAATAAACAAAAAGAGTGAAAGCAGCAACAGGACACTTCATGCATATATTGACGCTGGTATAACAGTTGTGCACTCAGATGAAATATCGTAGTCACACTTTACACGTCAAAGGGTTTTCAAAGCCATAGAAACTACTCAAAACGACGTTTTTCTATTTGTAGACATTTTCGAAAATGCCGTATTATTGTACAGTGTAAGATTTCCGCTTTAGGAATATTTCTATTTTAATATATTTTTATATTTGATTATTTTTTCTAAAGTTTGGAGTAGCCGGTTTGCAAAGAAATAATGGTTTGAACACTACAATGTTTCAAACAGCTACCTTTCTTTGAAGAGTTTGTTTCGGAGCCAACAAATTTGTTTAGTCTTTTTGTCAATACGACACTTTCGGAGCTCCATAGAAAGCCCATAATTACGAAACTTACCAAAGATCATGACTGCTTCAGCCTATGCTCAAAGACTTTTATGTTCTCTAAACAACCATCCTTCTCTCTCTATGACTGCGTTCAAAACTTCAAGCTATAAATATAGGCTGATGCGTAAAAATTCAAAAGCGTTTTTGTCGCACTACGACTTCTAGAAAAGAGCAATGGTGGTTGCAAGCTATTTTTGAAGAACGCGTATTGCAGAAAACATATTTTCCCTGCAGTCTTCGAGTCAACTGTTATGTTGTATATACAGTTGCAGCGGTAGAATTTGTCCAAAACTGCGGGATTGTCGGGATTCGCGGAATTCGCGGGATTCGCGACTTCACGGGATTTGCGGGATAAGCGGGATTTAGCTATAACTTCTTTTAAAACAATTTTATATGAAATCTGCAAGAAGATACGGCTTCAGCTTGATGAGACGAATCTTTTGATATACAGTATGTCCGTAATTCGTGGTGACACGGTAAACATACAACGATACCTTGTTGTTTTATATGTTAAGGCTTTTGTGAACATTTATCATAGCGTTAATCGCGAATAGCAGGTTCTGGTACAAAGTTCTCATTATCGAAAACTATCGCGAAAAATTGGGCAGTTTTTATTCACCCTTATCACTGATATAAGCATTTTATCATTTATCACTGATAATATCACAAAATTGGATCTTTTCTGACATACAGTAAGAAATGTACTTAAGAAAACACTGTGCAAGTTTTCATTGCTCTATCTTTTATAGTATGTGATCTACAGGCTTTTTCGCTTCAATCGCGCATTCGGTGCAGTAGATAGATCCCTCACTGCAGCAATCGACTGATTGCTATGCGCATGACACCGTCTCTTTGGAGAGTTGCTCTTTCTTCAAAAAAAAAAAAATTCACCGCTCTATAAATTGTGAATGAATCGAGTCGCTTGTCAACGAGAGTTTCAACGATGAGCTGAACAATTCTGTTTTCTGCGTATGGACATACAGATCCAGATCCACGAAGGCGATCGGTTTAGGGTGCGAAACGCACAAACGGCGTGCTCGAGCATCTTTTCACCAGAGTCCCCACGCCCGCGAACGATGCGCGTACATGGCGGTTGCCTCCGTACCGAAGTTTTTACAAAGCTTATCAAATTGAGTGTCGTTTGGTACTAAATCACGCATAACGTGGCGGGGGTCTGAATTTTTTCTGAGCAAGATATTAGGTTGGCTAAAAAATAATTGCATTTTTTTCATGAAAACCTCCATAAAAACTGTCTTAGTATTTTTTATCCATGTTTGTTGCAGGTGAGTAGAATGAAGCTTCTTCTATCACATATCGGCTATTTAGAATTTTCAATCATTCTTCAAAGGATAGTTATGCTCTAATATGTCTAAAATTCCAGAATCTCAATCTTGCGGCTTTTTTCCTGCTCTAATGGATGTAGAAAACACCAATTTGGTATTCAAATACAGACAAGTTTTTCCTAAATAGCGAATATCAGGAAAAATTGTGGCTTACCATTTCAGAATTCTTTGACCGAAAAAAAAACCAGATTTTCTCATAATTACGCACAATGAGAAAATTGAAGTTTCTCACTTTTTTTGCGAATTTCTTCCATTGCAAAATTATTTTTACTCAAACAGCATTTTTGTTACAATACTCATTTAAGTGCTCTCTCAAGAAGTGAATATTGAACAAAAAATTGTTTGTAGCATCTGTAGGAGCCGCAAAAGTGTCCATTATTTATTAGCCATAAGCCATAGCCTAATATCATTGAAATTCAGTACAAGCAGATTCAACTTTTGGTTTTTTATAACTGTCTCAATCTGTTTCCCTGCCAAGAATGCATGGAGAGAAAATAGCAAAAGCAGACTTTTGCGGAGCTTCGCTCATAGGCAGAGAGTAGAGTACGCTAGACCCGCGAAGTTAGAGACGCATTGGTATTAGGATTACATTTCTAAAAGCATTTTTTGCATTCTCAATTTTGACCTTGTGCTTGTGTCGCTTATGCAGAGTTTCTATCGTCGTGAAATTTCTTCACTTTTCACCGTGACCGGACCTTTACTGATATCAGAGACACGATTTCAAATAAACAAAAAAAGTGAAAGCAGCAACAGGACACTTCATGCATATATTGACGCTGGTACAACAGTTGTGCACTCAGATGAAATATCGTAGTCACACTTTACACGTCAAAGGATTTTCAAGGCTATAGAAACTACTCAAAACGACGCTTTTCCATTTGTAGGCATTTTCGAAAGTGCCGTATTATTGTACAGTGTAAGATTTCCACTTTAGGAACATTTCTATTTTTATATATTAGGTCGTTCCGAAAGTTCTTTCCGTTTTTTCAACATATCATAAAAGCACGTGGAATAAAGATGGAGAAACGTTTCAAGCATCTTTCGACGCAGCTTTTCTTCCTCTTTTCAATTGTTATATTCATGTGCCGCTTGCTCTTGTGGTCAGTGAGATAATGGCCAAAATTTCGGACCTATGGTTTTTACCATGTCCAACTTTGGCAATTTTTCACTATCTTCTTTCTTAACTTTTGGAGAAGCTTTGATTGCAGTCAGATAGAGTGAACAAAGTGCAATGTAAAGCATTTTTTTGGCAATTTCAGCCGGCTTCTCATTATTTTTTGCGATAACTTTTTCAGAAGTCTTCACTTTTTGGAAGTCACAAAACACACAAACGCTCTGAACATCAACGAATCTTCGGTTTTCGAAACTTTCGAAAGTCGTGGAGAAAAAGCTGCATCGAATGACATCTTAGTTGTGCGCCGCTTCATGTTCTGTGGCTTTTGGCATCCCCAAAAGTGGAGTTTGATAGCATCAAAAAATAATTCTAGAAATGTTTTGAGGCTAGCTATAGATGCCGAAAAATTGCATAAAATTGCACTCTGTTTACTTTATCCGACTGCTATCAAAGCTTTTCCAAAAGTCAAAAAAAGAAGATAATGAAAATTGCCAAATCTGGACATGGTAAAAACCATGGGTTCGAAATTTCGGCCATTATCTCGCTGATCATAAGAGCAAGAAGGAAGGAAGGTTGGACTCTCTCAACAGCGTGGTAGTGGCGTCAGGGACCATGCGAGAGCGTAGTTGGTTGGCATAGCGTCTCTTTAAGAATCCTCCGACTTCCACGTTGCAGAGTGAGCGTCCAATCCTTGATTGCACACGTCCTGGAGTCCAGGTAGGCTTCGATGGGTTACGGTATTCACGAACGTAGACGGCATCGTAGACTTCGAATTTCCTTTTCTTTTCCATCGCCGGTTTCGATCCGGGGGAGCAGTTTGGTGTGGCGGTTCGAGCGTCAGTGACCAAACGTAAGAGCGGAGTATCAATCCTTCGTCCAAGGAACATCTC